AGGACTGCAGGGTTGGTTTTCTGGGCCACAAGGGCATGTTGCCAGGTCACGTTGAGTTTCTCATCCACCAAGACCCCAAGTCCTTCTCCTCAGGGCTGCTCTCAATCCATTCTCCACCCAGCCTGTAATTGTGCTTGGGACTGCCCTGACCCATGTGCAGGACCTTGCACTTGGCCTTGTTGAACTTCATGAGGTTCACATGGGCCCACCTCTCAAGCCTGTCAAAGTCCCTCTGGATGGCATCCCTTCCCTCCAGCATGTCAGCTGCACCACACAGCTTGGTGCTGTTGGCAAACTTGTTAGAGTGCACTCGATCCCACTATCCATGTTGCCAACAAAGATGTTAAATAGCGCTGGTCCCAGTACCGACCCCTGAAGAATCTTATCTTAGAGTTCAATGAATACAGAAGAAGGGTACATTGATCAGCAGCTCTCAGTGTGGCAGCAGCCCCCAGGTCCTGCCAAGCTCATGCAGGTGTTCTGCTGCAAGCTGTTGTATGCTGTAGGCAGACAGAAAGTCAGGCGATCCACAGTGCCCTTTGCCTTTATGACCTAGTGGTTCACAGGGTCTGCAGGAATTCAAACAAGAGCCATTGCCTCTTGGAAACATGTTTATATGTTACTTTCTCCTGGCACTGGACCCTGCAGAACACTTCTGGGCATCCCAATTGCATCTTTTTTGCCAGCAAATCGCACAGGGATGCAGCTGTTTCATATTTCATATAAAAAGGAGTCAGGTTGGTGTAACATCCCTTGCCATCCCAGCTGAAGAGCTGTTTGTGGAAACCATTCTCAGTTGTCTTTGACCCTCTTCTTGTAACAGGTCCCAGAGATGGAGTCCCACCTGCAGATGTAGAGCCAGAGTGTGTGTTTTTAACTATTCTGGGATTCCATTTACCCAGCTGCACAATAGGCCTCAGAATACCTTCCTTTTTCCCAGAGGAAGCTGATCTAAATGTGATGGCATAGCCCTAGGCACCAGAGACGTTCCACTTGAAACACAACTTGTGGTAAGAAACATTAACAAACAGACTCATTGACTTTTGTTTATTTGTCTTAAGTGAAGTGTCTGCTGTTTCAGGGTCACAGAGCATTCACAATGTTCACTATATAGTGCTATTTTGGGCACCAAACACAGAGGGTAAATCAAAACATGACACCTTTCAATTACTTGCAGTAGCAAAGTGTATGTTGAAACTATATGGTTGGCACAATTCTTGTTTTCAAATAATTAGTACCTGAATTCTGTTTTAAGGCACTCCATTTCACCTCACCACATCTCCCATCCCTCTTTCTACATTTTTCCTTGGGGGAAAAACCGGCATGATTGTTCCAGTCTCTCCTGTGCCTGTGAAAATTACCATCAATCCAGCTAACTTTACCCACACCCACAAGATGCCAGAACTGCAGAAATTTTGCAGTGCTTGTTGAAATTTTACTATTCAGCAGTTTTGTGGGTTTCAGTGCTTTTAAAATGTAACTTTCCATGCTTGCTTGTTTGCACTGGGTCAGCACAAGGTCTATGAACCACTGCTGACTGCTTTTACCTTCAATTACATCTCTTCACTGTTTTTAACTCTTTTTTTTTTTAAACTCAGACAGTGGCATCACTTGAGCCTGAGCCATAGATTTTATATCTTACATTGCCCAATACTGGCAGGGTTTGAAGTTGTCATTTATCATTGCCAACTTTAAAAACTTCACTTGCTTGAGGCTTTGAAGAGTCAATCTATTAAGGTAATAGACAGTAACTTCAGAGGTCTGCACTTAGTTCCCAGCTCTGTCAAGGCTTTTTGCTCCCCTTAAAAAAATAATAATAATAATTGCACGCTACATCTGTGATGCTGTTTTGGAAAAAGGAGGAATACTGCTCATTTTCATTGGCCCTTTAAGGTGCTTGTTTGCACAGTCCTTCAACAGGGCTTCTTCAGTTTGTGTACAGAGGACATAAAAATCCATGCCTCAATATAGGCTTCTAGCCACCAGTGTAATATAAATAGCAATAAAATGTGTAAAAAAAACATATTGGATTGTGTATATTTACATGGCCAGGGCTCCCAAAGGAACCACCTGAATGTGCAGAAAACACAATTCAGCCATAGTCCACTCTCCAATGGCTCATTACACGCAGTCTTTCAGAAATCAATTTCTATTTTAGCATTTTGATTTACTCTCCATGACAAAATAGTTACATAGTCCCTGCCTTTTTACTCTTTATGTTTTTCTACTCACAGAATCTGCTGAAAACAGTGGACTGTCTTTTCATTTCTTCATTTCATTGTCTTATAATAGCAAGAGACCCAGCTTTATGCATCTCACACAAATCTAATACAAGAAGTTGCTTTCAGAAAAGCTGCCTGGTTTAGGTTTTTCCTTTTGCCTTTAGGTTTTACTTTGTCCAATTTTTCAAATATTTCTTGGAAATACCACAGGACAGCTCTGTAAAGGATACAGAAGGCAAAGTTTTTGAAAGAGTTTTCATTGTGAACTTCAAAGGACTTCAGACCATCTGTATAAAAAAAAATCACAGAGAGTAGAAAGTGAAAAATAATTCTTCCCTACCTAATCTATTATCCTCTTCATGCAAGATAATTCTATTTACTACTCTTTGACTACTGCAGCTTAAATGTTTCAAAGAACAAAGCTCCACACCTCCTTGGAGTATTGTTCCATAGGCTAACACTGCTCTTTAATTTTACTCTTGGGCCTAGCTAAATAATTTTTTCTGTTCTACTTTTATATCATTCAAATACTCTAATTGTTTGTTTTCACCTTTAATTACCAGTTAGATAATCTATATTTATTTAGACAATCCTGAAACCACTTAAGAATAATTTGGGATCATTCTCTCATAAAGTATGATGGACCGATCATAGTTTATGAGTTTTTTGCAGTAACATTTGGTTACGAAATTAATTTCTCCTTTTTCAGAAGCAAAGATTCCAACATCAGAGCTGAGAAAGAGTAGTGGTATAGGGGCCTGACACAGAATAAAAAGCTTTTAGTTATATCTGGCAAAAAGAGCTGTGATATGTAAATGGTGGTGTACAATTGTTCTCCGTTAGGTACAAGAAAGCTATTTTCAGAGAATTTGGAATTCACAGGAATTCTTCCTAATTTTTAAGTTATTCATTTTACTCACAGATTTCTGAGATATGTCTGGTGGCTGTTCTGTAGAGCAGTGACACTCACAGCTTCATGGTCTCAAGAAAGTATTCCTTACTGCCATGAAAACCATGGCAAGGCAGCACCACTGCTCCTAAGCTCCAGATAAAGCAAGAAAAATTCACTGTAAACCCTGCTTACCACATAACTGAGTACCCCAACATTAATGAATGCAGTGCTGTAAATATCAATACAGAAATGCTGAAAGGAAAGAAATAAGACATATACGTAATCTGGCAGTCTGCATTAGCAAGGAGTGCAGCAGAACATCGGCAATATAGATTCAGTGTTCCTCCTGAAGCACTTCAGGGGAGAGCACTTCTTAAGAAGGTGGAATAATTAACAGTCTTTATGCCACCATTGCTGAATAAAAAAGTCTCAGTGCTGGTGATGGACAATGTAAAAAAGCATATACAAACTGTCTGAACAGATGTTGTCTATCCCTAAATAGTGTAACCATATTTAGCACTGACTGAGATGGGCAGTGGGGTAGAAATAACTTACATATAGCAAATTCCTCCCACCTTTATTTGCTGTTGCTGTTTGTCATTGTAAGATAGAAGGCTAATATTGTTTGAGTAACAAATTGAGCTTTTACACGTACAGCTTCACTGATTTTTGTCCTTTTCCTGTTTTGTCAACAAGGCAACATCCATGGCAGGGTAATGTGTTCCAGAAAGTGTGTGCCAGTGTCTACTAGATGTTTTCCATACAGGAACAGTCTCCAAGAAAGAGGAAGGAGAATTCAGCCGAAACAGCACCTGCCCATGGACCCATGCTTGTGGGCATGTGATATGATACACGTTTTTGCAGCAGCTGAGATTGGAGTGACCCTGGGGAGACAGAAATCATCTTTAAGCTTTGAAGTATAATAATGCCCATGTCTGTCATAATGCCAGATTTATCCTATTTTCTACCTCGTAAGTCAAAATCACATTTTTTCTGTCATTCTAAACACACAGATTCATTGCTTACCTATAGCTGGTAGATTACCTCTCTCAAAGTATTAGCTGTCTCATTGATCTATAGCTGTGCTCCCTTCATCAAATAAATTGATGTTTTTTTAAGGAAAATAAATTGTATGAACTAATCACTTTACATGACCTACTTTACTAATAATAAAAAGCATTTTTAAATATTCAAAATTATTTCCTGATATTTAGCATTTCTGGTTTTAGGTACCTTTCAAGAAGTAAGCTATTCTGAAAGATACATATGAAGTCACCTTAAGGATCTCTGAAGTAAAATTTGTATTAATACTTTACAGTTATATTTCTTTACAGAAACAAGGAAATGTAATATCTTATTGATACTCCAAAATGTTATTTCTTATCAGGCAAGGCAACATTTATTAACAATTGAAGTGTGTATGATCTATTCCAACTGTTAAAAATTGCTGTTGAACTAGTGTAAACACTGAAAAGTTGCAGAATTTATTTAGAAAATCATGAAGCTTGTTATATATTTTTATTGTCTATCTAATGTAGAAAGGCAATTTTTCTAGCAGAGAATAGTAAGTTATTGCAAAGTTACTGCCAGTTTAAGTTATTGCAAAATAATCAAAAAGTGTGGTTTGCTTCTGCCCATTTCTTCCCACAACCTATGTCAATATTCAGAGACTATGTTTATACAAGGATATGGTTTCAGAGCCCTCGATGGGACAACAGATGCCTAAACCACAGTGTTAGGGAGGAGAGAAAAAGCAGCCGCCTAAGCATGTTTACTTTCAGCGACAAAGAAGTTCTAACTTGTCCCTAAGTGGTGACTCACTGGGTTGGGACTATAAAAGTGAAGACAACTGCCCTCTAAAACATCAGGGCTTCAGACTTCACAAATCCAACATGATGCAATCAAGACTTTCAGCTGTCTTCTTTTTCTTGTTGGGTTTGTCATTTTGCCTGACAATCCCTATTCCCCTTGAAGATAGCCATGAATTCACAGAAAAAGACCTTCAGTTTGCAGAGGTACAGTATGAAATAATTCGTTTGCATGTTTTATAAAGACTAAGTTGTGTAGTTACAACTTTTTGGAAACTAGGCTTATTACTTCTTTTCCCCTTCTTAGCGCTATCTCAGGACTCACTATGATCTCCGTCCAAATCCTGCTGGCATAATGAGGAAGAGTGCCAACACAGTGGCATCTAAACTTCGAGAAATGCAAGCTTTTTTTGGCTTGGAGGTGACAGGCAAATTAGATGAAGAAACATATGAACTGATGCAGAAACCGAGATGTGGTGTCCCAGATGTGGGGGAATATAACTTTTTCCCTAGAAAACTGAAATGGTCAAAAACTAATTTGACATACAGGTAAATGCATGGCATTTTCATTGTTATTGCTGTTCCTTCTTTACAGGTGCTTTGTCCAGTAAGTTGCTCAGTATATGAGGTTGATGGGAGAAGGGTGTGTTTGAGTTTGAAAAAATTCATGTTGCAGTTTAAAATCCTTACAGCCTCATTTTTGGAATGGTCCCCCAGACCCACCTTCCAGCCCAAGCAAGTAAATATGATTTTTTTCCATTGCACTTTGCCATGTAGGAAAGCTGGTGTGGTGTAAGCTAATTGCTCCTCATCTGGTATCTATGTAGACACTCTGGGCACATCCATAGTGCCAAATGAAAGAGTGGTAGGGTTAAGATCATGCACCTCGCCACTGATTCACACAGTGCTTAATCTTTAGGTCACTCCTTAGCTCTGTTTTGGACCTGGTTTGGTGTCTGCTTCATCGTGGACAAATCTGCTGGAGAGGGGGTTATCCCAAAGCAGTGTAAAAGCAAAACAGTCGGTGCAATTTGGCTGTGAGAGCAGGGACTGATCCTTGTCCCTCTTCTGTCTCATAGTCCAGATGTAGATATCTATGGTTGTTCTGAGAAGTCCACAACCGTGACCTCAGGAAGATGGCCTTAGGAAGCTACAGTGCTGAAAGGTCATACGGTAGCTCCTTCAGTACGACAAGGTCATCAACAGGTGTTTTGACCAACTGCAACCTGAGTTTCTTTAGCAGATTCCAAATATGAAATCACTGAACTCTTTCCAAGATATCAATTCAGTATCTGGTGATAAATATTACGTTAATGGGGATGATTCTAGCCTACGAAAAGCTCTTTGGATCATGTTTTGCTCCTCCAGGAAGCAAGGGTCATGAGATATTTTAAATGGCATAAAAAAAGTTTTGAGTTACTGATATGATTTGACTTAATACAGAATGTATCTCTCATTTTCTAAATCTTCTAGTGCATATAAAACCAATTATAAAAAGCTGTTTGTTCATTTCAGATGTCTCTGAATGACTTTTTAACAAAAATGGAAATGGTTATTTTTCTTTTTTAATACTATATGTGGCTGCCCAGCTCATTGTTTTTAGATAAGAACATAGGGAAGAAACAAACAAAAACTTTTTAATGAGATGTACAGTCAGATAAAAGTATATTACACATTTTCTTCAATTCACACAATTTAACTGGAGATATTAATCTGTTTGATAGAATTATGAATTACACTTCAGATCTGAGACGTGCTGAAGTAGACCGAGCTTTCAAAAAAGCATTCAAAGTTTGGTCTGATGTGACACCGCTTAACTTCACCAGAATACGAAGTGGCATAGCTGATATCATGATCTCCTTCGGCACTAAAGGTAAGAGTGAACCAATTATTTTTATGTTACAGTTATACTGCTGCCAGTAAAATAGGATAATTGATTTAATGTTGTTTTGAATGTTGTTTTATAGAACATGGTGACTTTTACCCCTTCGATGGACCTTCTGGATTACTGGCTCATGCTTTCCCCCCTGGTCCAGACTATGGAGGAGATGCCCATTTTGATGATGATGAAGCTTGGTCAGATGATTCTAGAGGTAATAGAAGTTCCTGAGATTATTTGAAATGGTGGTGGATGGACAATTTCATCCTGTTTGAGATCTGTAAACAGTTTGGTTTGCCTGTTTACTCTTCATTAGTCATTATGTTCACTCTCCACTCACAGGAAGTTGTGTTTAATCTCCAGTCATAAATGGAAGTATAACATATACCTAGCATAAATTTCAAGATATACACCTAAGTGCAGTGATTAAAAAAAAGCCACAAACAAGGTATTTTGTCAGCTTGACATTTCACTGAGCTCAAGGGCAGCTAGTTCTGATCACAAACTGATGGGAATTACCTTACCGAAGCCTATAGAAAACACATATACTTAACTCAGCTGCAAATCGGCTACTTACATCTAATTTCAAAATTTTTCACCTTGTTTATTCAGGGTAGAGCTTTAATAGAAAAAAACCACTTTTTTTTCAGTACTGTGTTATTTCACCCTCCTAGTATTAAAGCTAATTGTGGTAATACTGGAAACAATGTAGACTCTCTACCAAAGATGAATTCCTGACTCAAGTTCTTGACTTGAGTAGGACTAAGACTTCACTCTAGAGCTTTCCAGTGTTGCTAAGAAATTTCAGGAAATCTAAATCTGCCTACAGAACAACACTGTCAAATAAGACTTAGGTTGAACACCAGCTATGAGAGACTTAATCTATTAGGCCCTTATTAAAAAAAAACCCATGGTAGTTTGAAAAAGACAAATTATACATAATTTTCCCATTAATTCAGTTGTCTCCTTCATTGTCACATATGTTAAAACATAATGTTAGGGTTAGTTGATTAGTCTGAGTCCACTTTGGTGATACAAGGAGCTATACATTTGCTTTCACTGTGGTTTGTTATAGGGTATAACTTGTTTCTTGTTGCTGCCCATGAGTTTGGTCATTCACTGGGACTTGAACACTCTAGAGACCCTGGAGCTCTGATGTTTCCAATTTACACATACACTGGAAAAACTGGGTTTGTGCTTCCTGATGATGATGTGCAAGGGATCCAAGAGCTCTATGGTAAGTCTGTATAATATATATTTCCTGTGTCTTTATAACCTGTTACAGATGCACTGCACAGTTAATAAAGAGCTGCAGATGTTCAATAGCAAGTCATGACTGATTAGGGCCGATGCATGGGATTCTTGGCAACCAGACTTCAGGAACAGAAGATGCTTAGATTTAATAGTTCAGAGGGGGTAAAAAAAAAAAAAAATAAAAAGGAAGTAACACTGCAGAGGAAAGTTGGTCACTGTGTTGTTTCCTTTAGTGGGGGAGGTAAACGGCAGAGTCTCTATACTCTTTGACCTGCAAAACAGTCTAAATGGAGAAACAGAGAGATCCATGTTTCATCATGGAAAGAATAAAACCTTTGGGAGACCTTCAAAACTAGGGATAAAGAAAGCAAGTCCATTTAACATCTTTGCAGCACAGCTGAACTGCAAAGTCCATGAACACATTTGGCTAAAGGAGAGAAAAAGAGAACAGACTTTCCACAGTACAAATGGCTTGCCCATCGTGCTGTTTGGGAACTCTTCCATGTACTATTCAATATCATAATCCACAGAAAGGAAATGAACATTGTCAAACTTAGATCATACAATATGATTCCAGGTGCTGGAGACAAAGATCCCAATCCAAAACATCCCAAAACACCAGAGAAATGTGATGCAGATTTATCACTTGATGCAATAACAGAACTTCGTGGAGAAATGCTGATCTTCAAGGACAGGTAAAGAGACTGCCATATCATGGGTGGTGGGTGCTGGATAAAATTTGAGCAAGCCAAAACACCATTTCATTTTTTTACTAAAGATTTGAGGAAACATCAATTTAAAAAATCACAAATCAATATAGATGCCTCTGAGAAACTACATCATATATCTTTTTAGGCAGGATTTATAATACAGTTACAGACTTGATTGCCCAGCAATATGAAGTGAAGGTGATATGGCTGAGGACTGACACCGTTTGTACACATTTTTCATTTCACAGAGCTTTCTTCAACGTGCACAAATCTACTAAAATTTATTTGAATGAAGTTGTACTACATTCAGAAGCCTTACATGGGACAGCAGTGTTTCTCTTATTCTAAATGAAAAAATATTTCAGTTTGTTGTTTGAGATGATCATTGTGTGAGTGACAGAAATGGTCTGCAGCTAGGTGATTATGAGGAAAGGAAAGGTCTACAAGGAGCTCTGTGTATTGAAAATTCTATGTTATGAAAAAAAATTAATTCTCCATTAATTAATATTTAGTATAGCACATCAAAGATACTGCTATTCTGTAGTATGACAAGAAACATAAATTGTGGGGGTTTGACATTGGCTGGATGCCAGGTGCCCACCAAAGCCGGTCTTTCACTCCCCTCCTCAGCAGGACGGGGAGAGGGAGAAAATAAGATGGAAAAAACTCATGGGTCAAAATAAAGGCAATTTAATAAAGCAAAAGCAAAGGCTGCACGTGGAAGCAAAGGAAAACAAAAGATTTATTCTCTACTTCCCATCAGCAGGCGGTGTCCGGCCACTTCCCAGGAAGCAGGGCTTCAGTATGTGTGGTGATTGCTCCAGAAGCTAAACACCATAATAACAAATGTCCCCCCTTCCTCCTTCTTTCTCTTAGCTTTTATTGCTAAGCAGAATCCATATGGTATGGAATATCCCTTTGGTCAGTTGGGGTCAACTGTCCTAGCTGTGTCCCCTCCCAAGATCTTGCCCACCCCCAGCCTACTGCTGAGGGGGAATGTTGGAGAGACAGCCTTGATGCTGTGGAGCACTGCTCAGCAGTAGCCTAAACACCAGTATGTTATCCACACCCTGCTGGCTACCAACACACAGCACAGCATTGCACCGTGAGGGCTGCTATGGGGAAAATTAACTCCATCTCAGCCAGATCCAATACAAAAATATATTTTCTTTTTCTGAACTAGGTTTTTCTGGCGACTGCACCCTCAGATGGTTGAGGCAGAATTGGTGTTACTTAAATCCTTTTGGCCAGAGCTTCCAAATAAAATAGATGCAGCTTATGAAAACCCCATCAAAGATCTTGTGTTCATGTTTAAGGGTGAGTTTTCAATTTTGTTTTTGGTGGAAAAATATAAATATTTAGTCAAGCTCAGTGATGCAAAGGTAATAAATAGAAGAAAACATCCTACCTTCCTTGCTCAGAAAACAAACTCTGTTGGTTTCACCCCTTGCAAATCTATACAATTTTCAGTGAATTAGGAGATGTACAATTAAGCTCAGATGCCTAGGGTCATAGTTAGCATAAATAGTTTAATACCTGTTGAGTATGTAACCTAAGAATCTGTTAGTTGTATGAAAATAGGGATCATGACATCCTCATTTTATTCTGATCTCAAAGCTGAGCCTTTACCAAAGATTCATGCATACTTTGTTCTTATTTTCAGGAAAGAAAGTCTGGGCTTTGAATGGCTACGACATAGTTGAAGACTTTCCTAAAAAGATATATGAAATAGGGTTCCCAAAAGAAATTAAAAGAATAGATGCGGCCGTCCATATTAAAGACACTGGCAAGACTCTCTTTTTTACTGGAAATAAGTACTGGAGGTAAGCTGGAGACAGATTGCTGTGCGTCTACTTGTAACCTGTCCAGAACTATCAAAAGATGAGCATGTTGTTTCAAACCAGGCACTTGATTGTGGCTCACCTGTTTCCAGTCTGTGGTGTTCATTGGTGCTATAGCTGTGTAGAATATGTCGTAAAGGTGTTTGCAAGACTTTTATAAACATATGGGCACAGCCTTTAAAAGCTGAAAGCGTGCAAGAAAGGAAAGGAGAATAAAGTGCCCTAATCCAGGAGAGTTTGTAATATGGTCATGTCTCCTAGACAAAATTCCTATTTTGCTTCTTTGAGTTGCTTGTGTGACACAAAATGGTATCAGTGCTGTGAGAGTAAGAAATCTGTCCCACCCTAGGATGGCTGGGTTTTGCTGTTCATCAGCGGGACTTACAGCCAGGTCTGACGCATAAATAAGACATTACCATCCCTTCTCAGTATCTCTGTGCCAAGCAGCCTCAGGGTAGGTCTGTAGTGCCAATACATCCAAGTACAATTGTCTCCATATAATATGTACTTTATAGATCAGTTCTGAAAATTTAATTTTATTAGTTTTGTGTTTATTGAACTTGTACTTCTGTGGAAGAGTGCCATGGTTATTACCCTGAGTTTCATTATTGCATAAACATAAGATACCTAAGGGCTGCTGGCTACTTCTGACGTGGGTAACTTCAAAGCATGTAAAGGGCACAGACCAAACTCCCAGGCTGTTTAAATCCTCTGAATTTTTATTTTCTTTTGTGTTTAATATAGTTACGATGAAGAGGCGGAGGTTATGGAAGCAGGCTACCCCAGGCTGATAGAGGAAGAATTTGCAGGAATTGGTGATAGAGTGGATGCTGTCTATCAAAGAAATGGTACATAATTTGATAATGAAACTTTATTACAATTAGTTGTCATTGAAACTTGAGATAGATATCCTGTGGGAAATTCTGTCATTTGTAATATTCATTTTTTCACATCAACATTTCTGTTCTTGACTGAATCAGGTTCCTAATCTAAATTGCCCTCTGGCCAAGCTGCTCTTATAAACCGTGTACAGACATATTTGAGGAGCCAAAGTAGACCTGCCTCCTTGCTTAGGAAACCTCAAGAGATATGCTTAATATTGAAGTGTTATAATGTGTCTGTTCCTTCAAATGGAGCCCATTCCTATCCAGCTCTTCAAGGAGTGTTTCCAAGTCAGAGTCTTAAACATTAAAAGGCAAACCCTGTATTTTCCTAAGCAAGTGCTGTATAGTAATAAAATGCAGGGCTTGACACTATATTAAAATGTCAGTTATTTTAAAACAGCGATCCAGGTCTGGCAGATGGAATGAAGACCTTTGAAAATTTAGCTCAGCATTCTAAATACTAAAATATTGCATTTAAAAGAGTTATTAAAAATGAAAGCAAACAATTTTTATTTGAAGGATAATTTTAACATGACAACACAGTTTTCTCAGAGTTAATTAATTTTAACTTTTGTTTTCCTTAGGTTACCTCTACTTCTTCAATGGGCCACTGCAGTTTGAATACAGCATCTGGAGCAAAAGGATTGTCCGTGTCCTGCATACCAACTCCATATTTTGGTGCTAATTACAGCTGAGTGCCATGTCATAGGCTGCAGAGCAGCTTGTAGTACATGGAAGTAATAATATGGGCATATAGATTTCTTAGAGGATAGCAAGGTTCTGTGAACAAGCACTGGCTACCTACCACCAAATGTATACTGTATATATGGAACTATATAGCTGTATGTCAGTCTGGGACTGAATTAACTTAATAAGAAAGAAGAAAAGAAATTATTAGCATTTCAAGGGGCATTACACCATTTAAAGTTTGTCTAGTATTAAAGTGAGGTGCTGGATACATTCTACATGATCATGAGCACTATTAATTCCCCATAATCTGAGCATGTCTGGCATCTTTCAAGAATCTCCTAGTGTGTCCTAAGAAAAAGACTTGATAAACCCAGGAGTGTTGTATTTTTAAACTAATCCTTCAGCTCTTCGTGAAATTCCTGTTAACGTACTGGGAATTCAGATGTGTAATGAATGAGTGAGGACCGCATGGTGACTCCCTGAGCAGAATAACACCAGGCTGCAACACTGAAGTTAGAGAATTCAAAGGTATTTAAATGTATCCCCATTTGAATGGGAATGTCCCCCTGGAAATGGATGCCCCTGTTATCTTTGGAACGAGCAGAAGGTATAGAAGCAGCAAGGTGTCATTCCAAAGCAGACAGAAAAGCAAGAAAAAGGAAGTGTTCCCTGCAGAAATCATCAGCCAGTATGATACTGGGGAAACCAGAAAGAAGTAGCAACAACAGGAGAATCATATAGGTTGAAAACTTGCATGAATCTACATCTGGTAACACAATCCACGTTTTCAGCCGTTGTAAACTGAAATAGTTCAAGTAGCCTTTACAGAGGTTATAGTGCCAGCAGTGAAACTGAACATTCAAATTAAAATATGAAAAAGAATATCTTTTTTCATGTTGGTCACTCTTTTATTGTCTACATCAATTGTTTCAGTACCATGTAAGTTCGTCTTTTTATTTGTTTGCGGTTTTTTTTATAATTAATGCAAATGACATGGGACTGTAATTATTTTTCAGTATAAAAAATAGTATTAAATAAACTGGAGGAATAAAATGACATTGTGAAATTACTTAAATTAACATTTCCTATGCTGCATGTCATAAAAGCAAGACAGAGCTATTGGATAAAAGAAATCAGGAATCCTAACCTGTGCATTTTATTCATTAAAGTTTTCACATGTACTTAACAATCTATTTGGGGTTGGTTTTTTTTCCCTCTGAGAAAATGAATTTTATAGAAAAGAGAGGAAGAGTGAAAGACAGAAAGAGAGGAAAAAGGAAAGACTCCTCAAATCTACAGAATAAGAACTAATTTGGAATTAGTCCTTATCATTACAGAAAGTAAGAGAAATTATTAATGCATACTGTGAAATTCAGTTCCAAGTTAATTTGAATGCTAAATATTAATAACTATTTGAAACTACACTGTCCTCTTCTGCCTCCTCAAAACCAGCCCGTAATTCAAACAATCAGCCAGGCCTGCCAAGCAAAGCCCATCAACAATGAATACCTTTAAACAGGCATGTATGGCCAGGCTTACCCACTGGTGGGCTAGGTGAGTTTAATTCTGTAACTTAACCAACACAGATGGTCAGTCAAGGTAACCTAAGAGATTTAATTGTCTCTTCTGACTGTAAAACACCCTCCACTAGACCGGGTTGCCCAAAGCCCCATCCATCCTGGCCTTGAACACTTCCAGGGATGGGGCCTCCACAGCCTGTCTGGGCAACCTGTTCCAGTGCCTCACCACCCTCACAGGGAAGAATTTCTTCCTCACATCTAATCTAAATCGACCCTCCTTCAGCTTGAACCCATTACCCCTTGTCCTGTCACGACATGCTCTTGTAAACAGTCCTTCTCCAGCTTTCCTGTAGGCCCCTTTAGGCCCCTTTAGGTACTGGAAGGCTGCTATAAGGTCTCCCTGGAGCCTTCTCTTCTCCAGACTGACTTTGATATTGATAAAACTGTTAGGGAAAAAATCAGTACAATTCTCTGTGCATAATAAACAGAAATTGGTTCATTTATATATAAAGATAATTTTTTACAGACATTGTGTACCTGAAAAAATAACGCTTGATATTGGGCTGCAATTTAGCTTAATTACAATCAAATAAAAGTCTGGATATGTAACCCTAGTCCTAGTTATTCTCAGTATAAAAACTTGGTGGAAAATTATGTTTTATGTAAGGGCTAGTAGTTGAGTCTGAGTGCTCTGAATTTCAAAGGTCTGACCTGAGCTTCACTGGAGGAGGGAACGCAAAGGGAAGCAAGGAGACGTCAATGATTGTCTTTCATATGTATGTGAATTTCTGCTAACAGTGAACATTTTGTAGGGCAAAAAGGTACTACATAGGAAGCTGGATCTTCAAGACGCTTCAGCATGATCATATCCAGCTGCTCCCCAGCCCAAACAGTCAGATTCCTGTTTGCCGCTCGGCTGACTGGAAGCAGCCTTCGGCACCAGTCCAAGCACGGCTCCACCTCATGCGTCTGCATCCCCAGCAAGAGACGTGCGCTGCTCTGCGGTTAGCTCTACCTCAGCTGAGAAAAGTACCAGGCTGTCAATTCCTGGCATTTTGTTAAGAAAAAAGGGAAAACAAAAATGCTTGTGCTGTGGAAGTGGAAGGCTGAGGTCAGAGGCAGAGGGGCCCTGAGAGCCAGAAAGGAAAACTCTCTGCAGGACCCAGTGCCCTGGAACCCGCTGCCATCTCATGAGAATAACATTGCATGAGTCCCTGGTGGGGACCCATATGGGATATCGCCCAAGACCATCAAGCATTGAAAATAAACGAATTTTTTTCTTGAGGCAGAGACTGAACTGACTGCTTTCCCTGAGATGTTGTGAGTGAGAAAAGAACCATGAGAGGCTGAGACAGCTGTATCCCAGGATGTAATACAAGCAGAATCAATAACTTCTAGTTGAGTGCTAATTTTTATGTGGAACTACATAAATCCACCTAATAGTACATAAACTGTTGTTGATTAATGTGCCTTTTATATCCATTGTGATCTCTGCTTAGAATGATAATTTGGAGAAAGGATAAGGCAGGAAAAGGAATCTGTCAGATGCTACTCAGGACTAGTTTCTGTGCTGGTTACATGATCCTGAACAAGTAGGACTTAGAGGATGCAAATATATATTCCAGGAGAGAAAAAGAAGTGAACAAACATAATTTAAACTTTCCAAAGTGAGAAGCTAGACAGATGTCCTCTAAATTCATTAATATGTTGGAAAGGCAATAAACACTGTAAAACATACTGTGAGCTACATGAGATTTACTACTAGCTGAGAAACTGGAGAAGGAATTCAATCGGCATGAAAACGCTTTTCTTCTCAGAATAATCTCCAGAAACTTGCTCTGAGGACACTAGATGGCACTGACAGCTTTGCTCCTTAGAGTATCTACACAGAACCATAAATGATAGGTGGGTGAGGAAGCTGCAGCTAATTATAGTGAATTCTTACATCTAGTGAAGAAATAAAAAGCCCCAACACTAATAAGAGAATTTAATGATTATATTCTCTTGAAATATGGATCTCTGAGTGATAAGTTAGGATATTAAAAAGTTTAGGAATCAACTTCTAGTTATATTCATTGTCAGGGCCACTATTTTTTCAGTCTATTGACAGTCCTTTTCTCAACATCACTGCAAGACAGCCAAAACAGTATGCTCTGGGAATGGTCCCAGGAATAATGCAATCCCTTCATTTAACTTCATTCACTGGAAAATTATACACACACACACACACACACACACACACATAGACATATTACAATTCCTCAGGAACATAAGAGCCTTTAAGGATACAACTTGATTTCTGAAATATGCAGAATATGGAAGTAAGGCAAAAATGGACAAATATATCAGTTGCAAAGAACCCAAGTAAAACAGTACAAATATAATAAAAAGTGTCTGAAATATCAAGTATGTGACCACATCTGCTTGGAAGAACTAAGGACAATTTCTAAGCCTTTCACAGTTCATTCTGAGCTAGTATTTCCAGGCTTGTGAATGTTTTACAGATGAAGAATATGGTCTTGATCTTAGAATCCCTAATACTGCCCAGATCAGTAAGACTACTGAGAATTTTGAGCTTGGCAGAAATTGATTTTCGTGTCCTGAAAACACTTTTGAGACTTTCAAACATCTTTACTGTTTGCAATAGAAAGAAACAAGAAATTTTGGAAATTTTTAACGGAAAAATATTTGTCCTCTGGGATAGTCTGTAGCCATATTGTCAATTAGCATACTTACTGGCTCTGGGGGGGAAGAATATACTGTGTCAGTTTTTTGCTCAGACCGATTTAAAAGAGGGTGTAGACCTCAGTCTTCAGTCTTATAAGTGAAAGATCTGCACATTCACTTATGTTGTGGTGAATTTCTTTCCGTCTGTCCTGCTGGAGATGTTTCCTCTTTACACAAATACAATTAAACAGTACTCTTTGGAAAGACTGACTATCCGCTAATCAGAAAGCTCATTTGGGATGTAGGATTAACCCCTTCTGTCAATTATGTTTGTTTGTTTGGGTTTTTTTACAAAATGGGGTGTCTACACACACAGAGCCCACATCAAATTTTGGTTTTGATGGTTCTGCTGTTTCTGATGAAAAATGTTTTCAGAGAAGACCTCACCAGTTCTCCCCAACATGGTGCAGAAGGTACAAACACCACAGAGACTGTGTCTGGCCTGGGATCTCCCTCTTTCCTCTCTAACAGAGTCTTCATGTGGTTGATGCATCCTTTTTAGTCACAGCCCTTCGATTACATACTGCAGTTTGGATTTCCAGGCAATGCTGTTCAGGAGTATCTCTGACATTCACTTCAGCTATCCCCTCAACTTCGTACACTGTTATCTCCTGTGCACTGTTCTACAGAGAGTGCGCTCTTCCCCTGTCTTCCTCACAGAAAATGTATGAGGGAGTATTTTACTCTAAGAAAAAATCTTTCCAGGCAGCAGAGAACCAGGTTTCGCTTTCCCATTTACATGTCATATAATAAATTTCCTACTGCCGTAATAATGCAGGATGATGCAGTTCTGTGTGTATCTGAGTGAGCCACTCAAACTGTAGCTTTACTTTTTGCACGGACTACACCTGGGTCCTACCACCAGGAAGTAGGAGGCTTATGGAGCAGCTTCCCAAGAATGGTCATGTCCATACTGTGTAGTGTCTGCTGGACTTTGCGTGATCCTGTTCTGCTCTTCTTAAAAGAGGCAGATGGGCCATTTCCAGGGTAAAGTGTTGCTTTCTCGAGCCCAAATGATGTTATTAGGATGCTGAGATGGGTAAGTAGTTCAAGGACAAAATGCTTGCTACATAGGAACAGCCCTGC